CTTGAGCTCTGACTGTCCACCTTGAGGACCCTTCTTTGGTGAGGCCTAATGCCGTCTAGATGGTTTAATGCTGTGAGGCCACTAGCCCCCAAAGTGCCCCCTCATTCCAATACCATCACCGAGGGCTGAGTCAGGACGACATATTATCACTCAGGTCTCCAGGAGGCTGCTGGCTGGGCCACTGCAACCTGGGGTGGGGGGTGGGGGTGTTTTACAGGTGTTACAGGATGGGCCTTTTCTGGGACCCTCTGGGATTGGGTCCTGCTTATGGAGGGGTTGGCAGGACCACTCACCCTTCCCCCACCCATGGACCAAAGCCCTTTCCCTCTCGCATGATGCTGCTTAAAACCAAAGGCTGGAGGGTCCAGGGACACCACCTCATGTGCCCTGCTCCGCCCTTGGGTGCCATGGGGCCAGGGCCAGGTTAGTTGGTCTGCTAAGGCCGAAGCCTTGGTCTCTGGCTGGGTGCCCCTCAGGGCTGTTGTGAGAGCCCAGCGAGCCATGGGATGAACGTCTAGCATGTTCCTGGGGACAGTGGCCCCGCAAATCAGAGTGTCTCCCAGTCTCATTGTGAGATGCTGCGTCCAGGCCTCCAGTGCTGGCAGATTTGTGATAACTGTGCCACTGCCCCCTCCTGCCTGCATGGTGTCTCTGCTCAGGGACATTTTCCACACCAAGCCCCCTCTCTGCCACCAACCCCCTCCGCCAGCCTGGCCTTGGGTTGTCATGGGTGGGGCAGTTCCTGGAACCTGTGATTGAGCACCATGCTGGTGGGCCAGTGGGGGAGGGAGGTGTGTGTGTGGGACAAAAGCTTTCCTCAGGGTGCCAGGGTCTGGGGTGAGATGGGACAGGAGGTGGGGCACCTGCCAGGAGCCAGAGGGGCAGGTGTCCATGTCGAGTGCACCAGTTAAAATTAGGGTCAGAGTAGAAGTCCATTTCTCTCTTAAGTAAAAACAGCTCCCAGGTGCACATTCCAGGACTGGGGTGGCGATGTCCACCCATCAGCAGTAGCCACCAACATCATCGTCTGAAGCGGGCAATCACTGTGACGCCTTGACCTGAACTTGGTCCAGAGTCTCATGAGTTCTCCCTAATCACAGCCTCCAGGGACAGCACGGCTGCTCCTTTCACAGCATCCACTTTCTGATCACATCCAAATCCGTTCCCACCCAGCCTCGCCCTGAGCTCCAGACCACCTGCTGCTGTCCCATGAGCCTTTGCATGTGGCTGTCGCAGGCCCTCAGAGCCAAGGGCAGGTCCTCCTCATGCTTGGGCTGAGCCCTGCCCTGCTGGGGCAGTCAGTCCACTGTCCATCCTTCCCTGGGCACCCCATTTCCACCCACCTTCTGCTGAGCGGCTGCTCCCACCCTCTATTGTCATCTTCCCTCTATCCATGCTCCCGTTCCCCCTCCCCCCAAGGCTTCCTAACTAATCAAGCCAGTTTCCCCAGCTGAGGAGGTTTTCTCAGGGCTGTTGTCTTCCCCCAGGTACCAGGCAAGGCCAGCCTTGACTCCTGCCAGGAGACAGGCATTGGACTCATGGCTGGGGACTGTCCCTGTGGCTGAGGCTGTGGCCCACGAAGGGCAGATTGTGTCTCTGTGCCCTGCCTGTCCTCTAGCATTGCCAGTCCCAGAGCACCCCCAGTGGGCTGGACCAGGCCTCCTTGGCCAGCGGGGTGGGCTGTCACCTGGCAGAGCCCTTGAGCGCTGGCCGCTCTGAATGCCCTTCCTGGCCCCACGTACAGGGGAGGGCCTGCGACCACCATCTAGCGAAATGACCCAAGAGTAGGCCCCTGGGTCTCAGTGAAGGGGCTTCCAGCTGGACTTGGGGTTATTTTGGCCAGGCCTTGCCTCTGGGCCAGCCAGCCCTCTGCTCTGAACCTGGCGTGCAAAGCAGATTCTTCCCCCAGGGCCTGGCCCCGGCCTGGTTACAGAAGCGTTTGTCCCACCATGAAGCAGGCCACAGCACTAGCCTAATTGTGAATGTAACGAGCTGTCTGCACCCTCAGAATTAGCAGCTGGCTAATTGTGCCTGTAATTGTCAACTGCACGTCATCAGCCCTGGGAGGGACTTTTTGTTATCCAGGTTATTGTGGATGAAAATTTGTGCCCAAGAAAAGGCCTGGGAGGGAGTGCTGGGGTTGAGTCCGAAGGACCAGCTCTGGGTCTGACTGTGCCACTTATTTGTGGGGTTTCCCTGAGGAGGGCAGAGCTTCTGTGGGTCAGCCTCCTGGTTGGCTCAGGTGTGTGAGGTGTGTGGCTTCCGCATCTGGCACTTCAGGCAGGGGCTCCTCCAGCTCAGACTCAACCCGGAGGTCAAGGGCAGGCTGGATCACATGACCAGCCTGGGCCAATTGGAGAGCTTCCAAGGGCAGTTGAGCCTGGGGGTTGGGGGCCGGACTCACACTCTGGGGTGAGAGGGGCCTGAGGATTCTGCACGTGAACCAAGCTTTATGGTCTCAAGAAGGCTTATTTGTGGGATAGTGTTAGGGACAGAAATATTAATCATGCTGTGTTAACCGTGATTGTTCCTTTCTGAACAGAAAAAGCACTTTCTAAGCAGGCTGAGAGTTGTACTCCCCGGGCCATGGGAGTTGACCTCAGAGTGCCGTCCATTCTCCTTTTCTCATGGAAAGATAACCTTGTTCCTGAAACATAGGGGTCCTGGAGGCGCCCTACCCTTTTGCAGACCCCCAGCCCAAATTTCCTCTAACCTGTAAACCATTATACCAATTCTTACTCTTTTTGCCCACTTCCCTCTGTAGTCTTTGTCCTTCTACCCAGTATAAGCAATTGGCTTATGGGGCGCAGGTAGAGCAGATTTTATGTGGACAAATCCTGCCGCTCTCCCATGTTACCGGCATTATTGGAATAAATACTCACATATGATTCAACCTTCTCTCTACTTAATTGGCTGAAGTAGCGACAGGCAGCCCAGACCCATTGTGTCCAGTTTTAGTAGGAGAGGGATATATACTATTTCAGTTTGTTAGTTTGAGTTGGATCATCTGAGAACTTTGAAATATTGAAACACAGGCGCACGCACCTTCATTTGCACACTTTCCCTGGGCCTCACGGTGTGAGGAGGGGCTGGCTTTGTTCCCGTCTGCACTCCCAGAGCCTAGAGCAGTGCTCAGACATAGCAGGTGCTCACGCAACATTTGCTGAGTGGACGGACCCCATGGTTGACACCCAACCCCACGTGTTTGTCCACCAGTGTCCCTGATCACCATCCGCTTCTGAACGTGGGAACAAAAGCAAGCCAGGCGTGGCTATTTCAAAGGGTACTTTATTTACTCCTCAGGGCAGTGTGTGTGCCCGACCTGCTCCCGGACTCGACACTCCACACAGCTGCTCCTCACTCAGAACCAAGACTGGCCGCCCGGCACTGAAAATACATTGAAAACATCGATGCGCTTCTCTTTTTTTTCCTGATTTTTTTTTTTTTTTTTTGGTACAAAATGATACAAACAACAATACAAAATAGTTGTGCTGTTGACGATTACAAAAGAAGTCGGAACATTTGTCTAACTGCGCAATGCTCAGAGTTGCAGCGTGAATACATCATACTCCAGAATCTTTCCCCAAAACAACCACAGTCATGCGGGCTGCTACACATTTTGTCCATTTCCAGAAGAAACATGCAAAAAAAAAAAAAAGAAAAAAATCCAAGTGGAGAGGAGAGAAAGGAAAAGCAGAAGGCGTTCCAGTTATACAGAGAGGTGCCCGGCCATGGCACCCACGGCCGGCCTATGTACACCACGTTGCGTGAGCTGCGTCCCGCGATGCCCTGTGTTCGCGAGATTTTGTCGTGCTTTCTGGGGTTATTTCTTTAAGCATCGACAGCAGTTGAGACTCCCTCCCCCGCCCAGCTTTGTACTCTGGAGAAAACAGAGCTGCCCTCTCCCAGGACCGTGTTGGCTGGTGCTCTCACTGGCGACACTGAGGTGTCCCTGGGCCTGACGCGTGGCTGTTACCCTGACACTTTGGATGTGCCAAAGGACACGAGGAAGAGAAGACCTGCTTGGCAGACACAGTGGCCCTGGGCTGGGGGGTGCCAGTGACCAAGGCCAGGGCCTCCTGACACTCCGTCCTGCAGCACCAGACTGTCCTGTTCACAGAATAAAACTCCCAGAGGAAAGAAATCATGCCCCAGCTCTTTGCCATCGCCCGGTCTGCGCCCCCACTGCCGGGTCCCCTGGTCATGGACACGTCGTATCTACAAGCTATGTAAGAGACGTTTGACACTGTGTGCTTAGCTGATGCTAACTCGTTGGCCTAGGAACACAGTTCTGGCATGGATCTAGGATCCCCTGGGGGGGCTACTGGGGTGGGAGGGAGAAGGTGCAGCTGTCCAGCTCTCTGGGAGCAGGGACGGCCACGGGGAGGCCCCTGTCGACATCCCACAGCAGGCTGCTGCAGCCTCAGCCTGCAGGATTTAGGCAAAACGAACCAGGGGCCTGGCAGTGACAAGAGGCAGGGGGAGGGGCGGGAGCTAGAGGGGGGCACGTGAGACAGACATCCACGTGGGGCAGAGGGGCAGCAAGGGCTCAGCAGGGCTCAGCAAGGGCTCGGTGGGGTGGTGCAAGGGCTGTTGAGTCCTGGGCTGGGCCGGGCACAGCTGTCCCTGAGGTGAGCCCGGGGGTCCAGGAGGCCTCAGGATTTCAGAGAGAAGGGTCCACAGCTGCCTCGGTCCTGAGCCACATTCACACTTAGAACTTCTCCTGAAGTTTGTTTGATGAACCTTCCTCAAACAAATGAAAACACAACATCCCAGCTCACTTCCCACCAGCCCTGACCCTACCAGGAAGCTCTGGTGTGGCCACGCCGCAGACACTGGGACAATCCTCTACCGGACCCTGACGATTTGCATAGCACGGCTTAGGACTGGGGGTCCTGGTCCCCTCCCCTTGGTCGATCACCTCCTGACACCCAGCATGTGACCCCGTGACCTCCTCCGTGGCCGCTCCCTGTCCTCCGCCCCGGGCAGCCATGGACGGGTCAGGGTAGGCAGAGCCCACCACAGGACATGCCGCAGCTGTGGCCCGGCTCAGCTCTGGGAGAATGGATGGGGCTGGTGATGAGTTTCGGTTGGGGAAGAACCCTGATGTCCAATGGGGACATGCCCATGGGCATTGCACACCCATGAGCACTCAAGTTCACCTTCAAGGCCAAAGCTGTTTAGAAAAGAGGGTGACCATGAACGGGGACAGGCCAAAGGAGGAGCAGCTCAAGGACCCCCGATGGAGAAAGGGGAGCACCTGCCTTGCTGCCTCCCAACCTCCCCAGACCCCTTCCTGTCCCCAGGAGCAGACCAGCTTTCTTGTCCTTGGTCAGCTGGGACTCCCCAGGGGGCTCTGATGCCAAGTTCTGCCCAGGCCAGTGGCACCCTTCACCCTTCCTCAGGGAGCCTGAGATTCCCCCTTGAGTGTGCCTGGCTCCAGTAGGCCGGAGGCACCTTCACACCCAGGATTGCCCCAGGTGCTGTTTCTTACCCCCCAGGACACAATCACAGCAGGGGTTTCCCTAGGGGATCCTTGGGACACAGCCCCTGTTGCTGTCTGTCCTGCAGAACCGACCCCCGACCTCTGGATTGAGTCAGACTGGCATCCACAGGGCAGTTCCAGCTCTGGGCATCTGAGCCACTAACCCTCCAGCAGCTGCTCTGTGGGCTGCTCCAGAGGAAGGAGTGGGCTGCTGTCTCCAGCAGACGTCACCCAGACACACCTGTGGGCGGGCGGACAGCAAGGACCAGGCTCTCAGGACACTCTGAGCAGATCGTTGCTGTCCGCATCAGGTCACAGCACCGGAGAGCTCTGGTCAGCAGCATGGGGCAGGGACAGAGGCTGAGTCGGCCTTGGCGTCTGCACAGCCCCGGGCAGCTGGCTGCATTGGGAGCAGGGCTGTGCTGACGCAGGCTCACTGGGCCTGTGACAAGGTCCGGTCTGGAGGGGATTAGGGCTCAGGCCAGGATTTGGTGGGACACTGACTGGTTTGGGCTGTGGCTTCTTGGGACACCATACTCATCTGGACCAAAGGCAGCGGGGACATGGTTGGTGTTTGGGGTGACAGTGGCCCTGGGGGAGCCTAATTGTTGAGTAGGAGAACCCAGGGGACATCCAAGGACAGAGATGGCTCCTGGGAACCCCCCCCCAGCTATTTGAGCATCTGTGGGGGGCAGCCACAAACTCAGTGAAAGCCAGACCCACAAGGCAGTTTTGTTCACAGGCTTGGCTGGCCAGGGAAACAGAGAGGCTGGGCCTCCCACTTCCTGCCAGCCTCGGGGAACCCCAGAGGGCCCAGGAGACCCCCACTGTGGGCGGCAAATCGTGAGGACCCAGAAGGGCTGTTGGGATTAGGACCCCAAACTATTTTTTTTGGTAAATTTTCTCAAGCGAGTCACCCACTATTTTTCTTAATAAAAGGCCAAAAAATAAAATAAAAAAAGACACACATTCTCCCCGATTCCTAAATTGGTGCCTTTGGAGCTAGGACGAGCTGGGGTGGGGCGCTGGGGACAGGATTGGGGGACTTGGTCTGTCTGCGTTAGTCACTCCTGAGTTTGAGGGAAACTGATACATGTACCAAAAGGCACTTTCATTTTTTTAAAACAGTGCTTCTGTTCTAAGAAATTCAAGTTAAGACAGTGCCTCTCGCTGTCCCTTAGTGACAAGTCGGCTACCATGACGGGCGGCGGGGCGAGAAGTGTTCATGCCAGACAGTTCAATGTTGGGGGGGCTGGGGCGGGGGGGCCCCCAGCACACCACTAAATGACGTGTCTGCAGGGAGTCGGGAGGACCAGCGGCCTTCCCCAGTCCTGCTCCTCCGGCATCTGTCTGTCCGTCCGAGCACTGGTCCCACTTTGGTCCCGGCAGAGGGTGGTCAGTCCTCACCGCCTCCGTACATGTCTGCCAGCTTCTTGAACCGGGGCCCCCAGTCGTTCAGGTAATCGTAGTCTTGGTCCCCGGAGCTGGATGAGTTCAGGGAGCTGACGGAGCCCGCGGTGGAGCCACTGCCTTCGTAGTCAAAGACCAGCAGGGAGTCGTAGGGGGGCGCTGTGGGGTCATTGTCGGCTGCTCGAAGTCCCTGGGGGTCATGAGACTCGGTTAGGGTGGAGGGTGAAGGGCCTTAGCCTGGGGTCTGAGGGACAGGAAGGAGGAGACCAGGGAGGCGGAGCTATAGGGCTCTGCATACCATAGGTGCTCAATAAGTGCTCCATGCGATTAACCAAAGGGCATCTTAGAGAACAGAGGAGGGAAGGATGTTTGCAGAAGCTGTTGGAGGTAAAAAACAAATGCCAGCAAGAGGCAAGAGGGCTGGGAGGGGGCTGTGGCTGGGCAGGGCCTGTGCTGAGCTGGGGTGGTGGAGGGTGGCTGTGGCTGGAGTTCAGCCCCTCCTGGGGGGCTGGTGGGTATTAACTCCATGATCATTGTCACATGGAGTGTGAACCTGAGGTGGCCAGAAGTCAGAGTTCTGAAATGATGTTAACTATCCCCAGGGCAAAGCGCGGTAGGAAGTAGGGGGCAGGGGGAGCAGGTCTCTTCACAGGGCAGGATGCTGAGGGAGGGGCTTGGTCCAGGCCCGGGGCAGAGGGCACTGCTGTCGGCTGTGTGTGTTAACAAGGTTTTACTTTCAGGAGAGGCTCTGCTTGGGCCGCCCCACTGCCTGGGCACCCACCTCATTGATGAAGTCTCCGATGTCCCCCGGGTGGGGCACCGCAGGCCGGACTGGATACTGGGGCTCGGCGCCCACGGGCCGCTCGTCCACCCGCCGCACCCCAGCTGCCTTGCTCAGCACGTGCTCCACGGCCTCTGGCTGCTGCAGCTGGCTGAGGTCGTAGTCCTGGGAGGGCCCAGAGGAGCCAGGCGAGGAGGAGGCACCGGTGGGGGCAACGGTCAGGGCGCCAGGAAAAGCCACTGTCCCATTCTGTCCCCCGCCTGCCTCCCCGCAATGCCCACCTCCTCCTGTCCGGATCCCGCCTGTCCTGAAGGATGTGCCCCCAGGCTGCCTTCAATGGGGGCCCAGGGGTGCCTGCCCACATTCCTCATTCGTTCCTTGGGACAACCTGGAGCTAGGGCTGCTGTCACCCTAGTTCTGGGGGGGCAGTAAGCTTTAGGGGGGTATGGACTTGCCCTGACCCACACAATAGCCACGGGGAACCCTCAGTCCAACTAGGCAGCTCCAGGAGTCCCCCCTTCCAGGCACACTGCCTCCCGGTCCCCTGACAGCCCTGGTATGTGGGTTTGTCCTTTCTGGCCCCTGGGGTGCAGGGCGCAGGGTGAGGGGAGCCGGAGCCGAGGCGGGGTCCCCCCGGGCAAGGAACAGTGCAGGGAAACGCAGCAGGGGACCGGGCTGGGAGGGGCCTGCCCGGCCCTGCTGCCCTCCCTGGGTGTGGCACAGGGCGCTGGCTGCTTGCCGAGCCCACCTGGTCCTCCTCCCCGCCGCCTTCCTCGTCGTACTTGAGGATGTTGTCCCGCACGTCGTCCTCGGGATCGATGAGCAGCTGCTTCGTATGGCGCTCCCTCTCCCGCCGCTTCACCCACACGGCGAAGAGCAGGACCATGGCTGCGGTGGGGGGGGTGCCGTGAGCAGGCGTGCGCGCATGTGCCCACATGCACCCGAGTGGCATGCGCGCTTGCGTGAGCATGTCACACACGTGTGTGCACCGGGATGACTGCGGGTATGTGCGCCTGTGAGAGCGTGCATACGCACGAGTGTGCACGCACACGCCTGTGCACACCCGTGTGGGCATATGCACGTGCGCATGCGTGTGCAGGCGCGCACACATTTGTGTGTACGGACAGCCCATGTGAATGTGAATGTGCACACAGGCTGGCGCAGCTGGGTTTCTGAAAGGCCCCTGGAGGCTGGGTGAGGCTGGGGCTGGGCCGCAGGGCGCCCTGGGCTCTGCCTGCGGCCGGGTGGGGCGTGCGCTGTGCTGCCTGCGGGGTCAGCCCTACTCACTCAGCAGCATGGCGACGCAGATGAGGATGGCCACGATGGCCCCGGTGCCCAGGCCGGCCGCGGCCACCGCGCCCATGGAGGTGCAGTCGCCATTCTCATCACACGGGCACACCTTGACTTTGATGATGGACGTGTTGGACAGCGGCGGGTTCCCGGAGTCTGTGACGATGACGGGCACGTCGTACACCCCGGCCTCCAAGTACAGGCTGCGGAGGCTGAGCTGCGCGTAGTCACCTGGCACAGAGCAGCGGCAGGGCTTGTCGGTGGGCGGCCGGCCCCTGCTCTGAGCATGGCTGCAGGAGGCCAGGCCCAGTCTGCAGGAGGCCAGGCCCAGTCTGCAGGAGGCCAGGCCCAGTCTGCAGGAGGCCAGGCCCAGTCTGCAGGAGGCCATGCCCAGTCTGCAGGAGGGCAGGCCCAGTCTGCAGGAGGCCAGGCCCAGTCTGCAGGAGGCCAGGCCCAGTCTGCAGGAGGCCAGGCCCAGTCTGCAGGAGGCCAGGCCCAGTCTGCAGGAGGCCAGGCCCAGTCTGCAGGAGGCCAGGCCCAGTCTGCAGGAGGCCAGGCCCAGTCTGCAGGAGGCCAGGCCCAGTCTGCAGGAGGCCAGGCCCAGTCTGCAGGAGGCCAGGCCCAGTCTGCAGGAGGCCAGGCCCAGTCTGCAGGAGGCCAGGCCCAGTCTGCAGGAGGCCAGGCCCAGTCTGCAGGAGGCCAGGCCCAGTCTGCAGGAGGCCAGGCCCAGTCTGCAGGAGGCCAGGCCCAGTCTGCAGGAGGCCAGGCCCAGTCTGCAGGAGGCCAGGCCCAGTCTGCAGGAGGCCTTGCCCAGTCTGCAGGAGGGCAGGCCCAGTCTGCAGGAGGCCAGGCCCAGTCTGCAGGAGGCCAGGCCCAGTCTGCAGGAGGCCAGGCCCAGTCTGCAGGAGGGCAGGCCCAGTCTGCAGGAGGCCAGGCCCAGTCTGCAGGAGGCCAGGCCCAGTCTGCAGGAGGCCTTGCCCAGTCTGCAGGAGGGCAGGCCCAGTCTGCAGGAGGCCAGGCCCAGTCTGCAGGAGGCCAGGCCCAGTCTGCAGGAGGCCAGGCCCAGTCTGCAGGAGGGCAGGCCCAGTCTGCAGGAGGCCAGGCCCAGTCTGCAGGAGGCCTTGCCCAGTCTGCAGGAGGCCAGGCCCAGTCTGCAGGAGGCCAGGCCCAGTCTGCAGGAGGCCAGGCCTAGTCTGCAGGAGGCCTTGCCCAGTCTGCAGGAGGCCAGGCCCAGTCTGCAGGAGGCCTTGCCCAGTCTGCAGGAGGCCAGGTCCAGTCTGCAGGAGGGCAGGCCCAGTCTGCAGGAGGGCAGGCCCAGTCTGCAGGAGGCCTGGCCCAGTCTGCAGGAGGCCAGACCCAGTCTGACAGCACAAAGCCCTCAGGGTCTGTGTGGCTGACACACATGCACGCACCAAGTGCATACACAGGTGGACGCACATACAAACACACACAGGCACATTCATGCACAAACACACATGCACACGCGCTCATGCACACACACACTACATCTTACTCTGAAGGTAAGAGACATGGGCGAGTCAAGAAAAGACATGGAACATGTAGGATGAACTTATCTCCTTACTATATGAAGAGTTTTACCAAATCAATTATAAAACAAAAAACCTCAAAGAAAAACAGTCAGGGGCATTGAACAGACAATTCACAGAAGAAACAAAAAATGGCCAATAAATATATGAAAGAACGTCCACCAGCAGTTAAGAGATACAAATGGAAACAACGGTTTGGGCTAAGAAATGGAGAAGTGCTTTTTCAGACATAAGGTTCAGCGTTGGAGTGGGGAACAGGCCCAGTCCTGAATGTCCTGCGAAACTGGAAACGGGTGTGACCTTTCCACACACACTGTCACAACGCCAGCAGAATTCAGAACTTGGGTGCCCACATGTAAGAAAGTGCCCCCGGGAAATATATCATCCGGGCGTCAGCTGCAAGGGTGTTCACGCTGGGCTTGGTGAGACAGCAAGAGACTGCGGCTGGCGCGGCCGAGCACTGGAGCGTGGCGGGGTCCCCAGCCTTGTGGGGGCTCCCACAGAGGAGGGTTATGCAGCCCTCTTGCGAGACTGGCTCCATCCCCCCGCCCACTCTTCAAGGTTGCCCCGTTCTTCGGGCACCTGGGTCGGGCTCACCGTTTAAGCGGGTGATGGTCCAGTTCTTCCGCGCGGCAGCCGGGACAAAGGGCAGCTCGAAGACATAGGGGCCGATGTTGGGGTCGATGTCAGCGTCGGCCGCAGTGATGTTGATGGCGTTCAGGTTGGGCTTCTCGCAGATCTGTGCCTCCTTGGGGAGCAGCTCGGGGGCATTGTCGTTGATGTCGATGAGATAAACCTGGAGAGTCCCAGTGCCACTGGCTGGGGGAATCCCTGCGGGACAGACACGGGGTGACCATGTGGGGTCACTCCTGGTACTTCATGACCACAGGACAGACCACAGCCCCACCCAGGATGGCCCCATGGCCTCGACCAGAGCACCAAACCTGCGCCAACGCCCACTCAACTGCACACGGCATATGAACAGACAGCACCAGAGCACACAACCACAGCCACGGGAGCACACGTGTGCACACATGCACACATACGCGCACATAGCTGCACGCTCAGCACAGCTGAAGAAGCTCACAGCCACACTCTGGACACCCCAGCAGGGCTCCCCGTGGCCAGATGCCCTGCACTCAGACTCATGAGCAAACCGGAGAACCTTGGGGACTGTCTGAAGGGCAGGCTGTCAAGCCAAGTTTGGGCCCGGGGGACTCCGGCCCCAGCAGGCGCTCTCCACCACGGGTGCCGCTTTTGCCGGCCTCGGTGTGCAGACAGGTGCTCTGCTGAGCCCCAGAGCTCCTCGGGGGCTGTCCGGGCCTCCACCCAGGCCAACGGTGCAGTGGGTGCCTGCTGGGTGGCCAGAGAAATGTTACTGTCTGCCCTCCTGGCCTGGGGGGCTGTGGCAACCATATTCTGAGAGTAGCTATGCCTTGTGAGGGTGGCTCCTGACCCCGACACCAACAACCGTGTTTTTTGGCTGAGACAGATGGAGCGTGTAAAAAATACGTCCTAGAGCATGTTTCTTTAATCTCCCAGAAACATCAAGATGCATTTCTGGCAACACAGCTCAGTGCCCGCTGCAGGAAACTGCTGTGCTCAGTGGAGGGCGAGGCTGTGTGCCACCAGGGACAGCGCAGGCGGATTCTATTCATCCGCGGGACTGGCACTCCGTTTGGGGGTCTTCCATGTGTCCTGCGCTCTGGCCAAGGGCTCATTTAAAGTCACTGTCTAATCTGGTCTCGGTGCCTGAGCTGCTGGAAAGGTGATGTGGAGGAGGGCCGCATCACGGGCTGGCTGCAGGGGCGTTTGCGGGCCCCACAGGCCAGGGAGGCGGGAAAGAGGTGGTGGGTGGTTGCCAAAACCTGGCTCTTGCTTGCTGTGGAACAAGCCTCATGAGCTTCAGCTGCATAGCTGTGCCTAGAGCCCAGGAGGCATGTCCTGCCTCGGGGCCTTTGCTCATGCTGTTTCTTAACTCTGTTCCTCCCCATCCCACCCCATCTTCCCCTGGCTTGTCCCTTCTGGTGCTGCAGGTCTTGGCCCCACAGTCAGCTCCTCAGAGCCAAGAGCACAGCTGGAGGCCCTGGTCACTCTCTCCCATCCCCTGTTCTGTTTTCTCCCAGCACTGCTTGCTCCTGAAATGATCTGGTGGACTTGTTTCCTGTCTCCCTGGGAAGACTGTTGACTTGTCCTTCAATATCCACCTCCCCTCTCTTCCTTAATAAAAAGAACTGAGGTCCCCAATTTTATCTGGGGTCACCCCTGCTGGACTAGAAGACTACTTTTCTCAGCATCCTTTGTGGGGAGACATGGCTTCATGATTCAGTTCTGGCCTTTATGAGCTGTGAGTGGAAGCCCTTAGAAGGACAGGGGTGTGCCCTTGCCCTCCCAGCTCCTCCTGTTTACCAAAATGTGGTCGTGATGGCTGGAGCGCCAGCAGCCATTCTGTGGACCATGTTGAGTGGCCAGAGTGAGCCTGGCTTCTCAAGCCTCACTATGGGCTGACTGCCTCCAGCCTTTTATGTGGAAGAAAATAAACCTAATCGAGTTGAAATTACTGTCATTGCTATGCAGGTGACTCTGGTTCTAGCAGATACACTGGCCTCTGGGCTGTCAGCAGGACAAGAGAGGGGCCTCTGTCTGGCCTGTCCACTGAGGAGTAGTGCGGGGCACAGGCAGGAGTCAGGGACTAGTGACAGCAGCAGTGCCAGTGCCAGCTGGAGCCAGGCCCAGTTTCCAAGGTCCTTGGCAAACGCTGCTCTGCTAAAATGTGCACGTGGTTCAGCTGCCTCAGTTTATAGGTGGAGATGCTGAGAAGCAGTTGAGCCACGATAGGGCTGGGAAAAACCTTGGTGTCCATGAATGAGCGACTGTGGGAATGAGGGGACGGTCTGGCAGAATGACAATGCTCTGAACTGAGGACAAGAGCATGGAGAGGGTGACTGCCTGGTGCCAGGAAGGACGACAAGGCCTTGGCCCAGGCTCTGCACAGGGCACCTGGCATGGTGCCCCCTCAGCCTCCCCTCTGGGTGCCGGCAGGCCTCACTCGGTCTCCCTGCCAGAGCACCCACAAGTCACCGGAGTGGGGCGCACCGTTGTCAGCTGCCAGGAAGGTGGCCTCGTAGACGTTATTTTTGGTGTAGAGGGACTCGCGGTCCAGGACAGCCGCTGTGGTGACCTGCCCGTTGGTGGCGTTCATGTGCAGCCAGCTCGCAGGGTCTGACAGCTTTGAGTATCTGCGGAGGGAGAGGCGG